AACATGGACGTTCAGCCATATGGCCACGATGATGTAATATAAAGGCGCGAGCTGGCGCATCTGCTATGAAACATCTAAGCTCTAAGTGGCACTCTTTGGTCAAGGAAATATATTCCGCCATTCGACATAATTCGTTGTACGTCTGTAACAAATTTTTCAAAGAACAAATTAGGATCGTATGGTTTGTGTGAACCTTTGTAAATGCCCACAATTATTGGTAGTGCATTTTGTACATTGGTAATTCGACACTAAATAAGCCAAATATGAATGGTACTTTGTTTGTCTAAATTACATCCATCTGTACTAAAATCTAAGACTACCTCGTTAACTGATGTACAAGATATGTTATTAGACAAACTGTCAACAACTGCGACTTCCAGATCAAAATGCAAATATTCCCCTGGTGGTACCGCGCATATATCAAGACAACTGCGCGTTGTATCGAGAAGTGTCCTAACATCTTTCGGTAAATACAAAAAGCATGGATGTTTTCTTAAAAGAGACAATAAATTATTTCCTTGGACATGTGTAATGTTATTATCAACAAAGCAAGATGCCAATTCGTCGCGAAACGATGCTACTTGTGAAGAATGTGTATATGAGGAGACAACATCACTTTTATTGCTTTCGTCACATATATCACTAATATCGGACATACACGAAGACACATCAGTAGTCCCCTTGTGTATTATCTATATTTTCACTGCAAGTCTCATTATTGAAAGTATTATTGAAAGCAATACTTTCTTGAGGTCCAATGTATGGACACGACGTATGCACATTACTTCTAGTATGGACAGTTAGATTGGACGCACATAATATACGAATATTGTTTCTATATTCGGATTTAATCCTTCATATTTGTCGTTCAGACATTGTGTGCAGCGTCTTTCGACTGATTGAGGTTTTTATATATCGTCTTTCCATATTAATATATAGAAATACAAATACAATAGCAAAAGATTGCAGGTGCAAAGTAATCGTTGACTCGCAGGAACGCAAGTACAACGTAGCAAACATGTTATGTTTTAGTACTTAGCCACTTGCTGTGACGGAACAGAGAATAATTATATTACGGTATCCTTAAGTATTTTTATACATGAAAAAATTTGTGACAGAGATAACAAAACACGGTTGTGTGTAAGGGATTAATAGTACATACAATACATTGCAGGTGTGCAATACAACAATGTGTTCGCAGCCTCATGTCACAGGAACAGACAACCCTGCCGAAAATGGTCGATTAAAACGGATTTAAAATAATGTAATCCATCGGGAATCGATCGGGATTTCTGCACCGAAAATGCGGTATTAAAACCGATTGAAAATAGTCAAATCGAATTTAGTACGCTTCAGGCGAGATTAATGTTGGATGATATATCTCCACCTCAATCCGAAATTATACGATTTCATAAAGTTATAATTAAACCTGTTTTAATGCAATTGAATTGGAATTTACCATAGTCAATCCATAGGTAAAAATAATCCCTTTTAATAAAAAATTTTATCATTTCG